TACGTGGCTGATTCTATAGATTTACTCTTTCTGAAACCATGTTGAGATTGCGTTAACAGATTATTGTGCTCTACAAAATTTACTACTATATTGTACACACAAACTTCAGAAAATTCTGATAGAAGTGATATTTGGCGATAATTATCTATTACTTGTTTATCTGAATGGCTCAAATTTGTGATTGGGCCACTCTCTAAGTTAGAGGTTCCACTTCATGTGTTATCTTCTGATAAACAAGGTTGTTTAGGTTTTGTATTGTCATTTTTTTTGGGTGGAAGGTTTTTTGTAGGTTTTATTTTGTCCTTAGATGTTGACTTTTTTTCAGACTCTGATTTGTGAACTGGATAGATTTGTTAATAATATTGTATATGATGGAATCGGCCGATACTTGATGAAAATCCATAACTAACGTATTCCAAAAACAGTTTATTGTGAGATTTTCACTAAATTGTTTTACAAAAACGCAACACGTGTTTCGCCATACAATGGCTTCATCTGGCGTGTCTTTCAACTGCTTCTACACATTCAATACTAAATATATATATNGAAAGTAATTCAATTCTAATTGTTCATTAGTAAATTGCCCGAATTCCTGATTCTATTGATTTCTAAACATTCTAGTTAGTTAAAAATAATAAAGATAAGACATCCAAATTCGAGAAATCAGGAGTATATAAATTAAAGCGTGGAACGTGATTTAAGGTATATATTGGTCAAACTGGCAGGACATTTAGGAATCGAATCCAGGAACATCATACGAGCTATGTAAATAAGAACACAAATTCAACATATTCAAATCATCTTCTAGAAAAAAATCATTTCTTCAAGGAAGAGTTCGAAATTTTGCACATAGAAAATAAAGGTTTGAAATTGAATCATTTAAAAAAAAATTAACTTAAAAATTCAAACATTCTAATAAATGACCAACTAGATTTGAATAGATCACCATTATTGAACTTTTGTTTTAATAAAAACCGAGAAAGAATTATTATTGATGTAGATGTGAGGTAATATGCTTCAGGTGATCATAATTGAAAGGTACGTTAGGTAGAGGTTCAGGTAATTATTTGGAGGTAGTCTCAATTATGGTTACCTGTAGCATATAAATATTAATTTAAGAATATTGTACTCAAAACGGTTAACGAAAAACACTGATTTTCTCCACTGATGTTCAAATTCACTATTTTTACAAATGTCAAATTCATAACCAGTAGAATTAATATATAACGACTTCGCTTTTAACGACTATTCGCTTTATTGTCCGGTTAAAACGCCGCGCAATTTTTTGTTTACTAAACCTAAGCACCAATACCTCGTTTTTTCAAAAACTACTCCTCACGATTTGATCTCCACAAACTTTATTTGAAAAATATATCACATGTTTCGCTAAGACATTAGCTTTTTCAAGTGATTTATACTCACTTGAAAATTGAAAAATCACTTGACAAAGCTAATGTCTTAGCGAAACATGTTGTGATATATTTTTCAAATAAAGGTTGTGGAGATCAAATCGTGAGGTGTAGTTTTTGAAATTACTATGGATCTTCATTAAGTAACGGCCGAATCAATCAGAAAATTCTAGAAAATTGAGTTTCAAACTCTTCTCTTCTAACTGTAACACGTCGCTTTCATGATTGAACTCATGTCCTTCTGCTAAAAGGTGGTTTACAAATGTGGAATTGGTCTTTCTATTTCAAAAATACATGTATGCTTTTTAATTCTTTGGGAATATCAGCATGAAGTTGCTGCATTCAATATTATGCTTCACAAACTTATGAATATTCCACTGTCTTAGAGTAATTTCCAGAGAGAGCTGAATTT